CGATAGCGCAACCAGCGTGTGTGATTGTAGGAGGAGCAAATTGCACTCCTGATGCGTATTGTGTTATGTGCAAGATGATGAGCGCGCTGGGATGAATCCAATTTACGTCCGGCAAGACATTCGCCGAGGTCACCGAATATGAACACGACCATGAAGTGCAAGTACGTGTGCAAGTGCGTTTTGCGCTCGGCGCGCTGGTATTTAATTAGAGCACTGCAGAGAATTAGTTAATGGCATTAATAATCGTTAATATTCGCACTCTAAATAACAACACGTCTCGCTCATTACCGTAAAATTATTTACTGCGCATATTTCGAGCTTACAAAAGCTTAATGAAATTGATTTTGAATTGATTCGTATAACAATAAAATAAATCTACATATATTTCACTAGAACATCCGGTTTTTCGGGTGCTGGTTTAAGGCGGTATTTATTATGTTTATTAAGTTAAGGAAGATTATGTAGGTTGTTGTTTTGATTAAAGTTTAGTAAGCTAAATATTTAGCTCGGTGTGCGATTTTAATTGAATTTCGAAAACTCTCCGACCTGCCAAAGCAGTGTCGCGGCTGAAACGGCTGGAAGTTTTAATTCGATAAGTTTTTCTGCGTTTTTGTCATTGAACAAAACAAATTCCATTATGTGGAGTAAATTTTTTTTGTTTGATAGATGATGAATGTCTTAATATTGGAATAACACCGATTTTTTCGGGAGTTTTTCCTTAAGAAGGATCAGGATCCGGAGGGGAATCAGGGACAAAATCTTCATGCCAAGTTTTTTATTCTTTATAAATTCAATATGGTCAAATTCACATCGGGAAAGATTCGATAAAGCATTTTATTAGATTTTAAAAATAAAAAAATATAAATTTTGCAAAAAAATTTGCAAAAAATGTTTTTTTATAAACTTTTTAAAATTATTTGAATATTATTAATTTTTCAATTACAGAAAAACATATATTTTATAATTAAAGCTTTGAGCTTTTATGCAATGATCAGAAACATGTAAAAACGGCAAAAAAATTGCAAAAAAATTATTTTTTCCTAAAATCCTTAAAATGATCTGCAAATTGTTTCTTTTTTAATTAAACCAAGAAACAAATTTTCGATTAAAGCTTTGAGCTTCTGCGTAAGTACCAAATTAATGCCTTAACGCGCCACGGGCCACGAGATAACGCAAAATGGCAAAAAAAACAGTGTTTTAAAATATCCACGCACGCAGCGAGCCGTGTGAAGGTACACGACGCTAATTAAATTCGTCGGTTCCGATGTCATAAAAGCGCACAATAAAAATAAATCCTTGCGCCCCTCGCACATTTGTGCACTCGAGCGCCGGCCCCACACTGCGGCCGCACACAAACAAGGAAATATTTACATTCAGCTCATTTCTTCCGTTATTGTCCTCATAAATGAAAATAAGCTTACGTGAGCCACCGCCCCCGACGTCGATACAGCTCGCTTGGTCGCCTCGTGCTAATTGGATCATTAATTTATTTCACTGCACGATCAACTCGCGCGGCAACTACACAACACTTTTTATAAGCTGTTTGTTTGCGAGCTTTTAAATCATCTGATTAGACTATGAGCAAACTAGCGAGAAAGCTCACACATAAATTTTAGTAATACCTTAAAAATATTGACTTTTCCGCTAACAAATCACGATATTTTTTTTTTGTTTTTTATTTTTCAAAATTCAAACATTTATGTTCACTTCCGGTTTAATGGATATCATCTGTTTGCTGCCGCTGGGTGAATCCTAGACGTAGTTGTACTAAATATTAAATCAATTTTAGTCCTCTAGAGAATCCCTGGCAAATGTACAGCAATTCGGATGAAAATTCCGGTTTCCGGTCTAAAAATAAACTATGTATAACTACGGCAACAGTTGTTGCAGTTAATTCGATGGAAAACTTGTTGTACAACTGCATTACACATTAAAACGCCAAACCGGAAAACCGGAAAATTTTAATATTTTCAAAATTTTCACTGCCAAAAATAGGAATAAGTCGTGGGAAAATTTATTGAATCCGCATGTAATCCCGACCACATATTTTCCTCAATCGTCCCATTGAGCTTTTTTCGCAATGCGTTATCCTTCAGTTGAGTTCAGCAATGAAGCTGTCCGCTTCCTGGGCGCCGAATAAAATTCCAAATCCACGTCGTAATATCTGCTGACTCCGGACTCGGTTTATCAATGCTTGCCATGACCGCAGCGCCTGACCGAAGCTTTTTTCGCGAATTCAACATCAACACTACACAATTTACGCCTTTCGCAAATGCTGCGCCAACGAAAACAGCAAAAAAGTTTCCAAATGCGCAACACTCAACACCATTCAATCCGCACATCGAATGAAAGCAATTAAACCAAGCTGTATCGCGTTTTTTTTTTCGTGGGAATCCGAGCTTTTATTCCCAATGAAGCTAATGGCCGAATGGTACAAATTAAGAGCTTTGCTACATATTATTGCGTTGATTAATTATTCACGCGCTTGACATTCATCGATTTGCATTTAATGACAGACAATGCGGTGACACACATTTTGGGAACTTGGTCACGTGATGAACAACCCGTCACTGGGTAGGTGTGTGTGTGTGTGTGTGTGGGTGGGTGGCGGCCATTTTGGCACTGTGTGCGGTTTGCGGGCTGCAGCTTCGAGAGTGTCACGAACCACTATCAACCCTCGAAGAGTGCGCGCGTGCTTACACCAGAGTTGGCCTAATTACAGGGGCGTCCATCTAAATCAGCGATGACTTTTATGATACACGAAATGGATAACCGTGTATTTAGAATTTAACTTCACTCGTATAACATTTTATTACACGTCTTAGATTTGTTGCATAACCTTACTTTAACCTAAAAATCACTTTTTTCGGGAATTAAAGTGAGGTTAAACCCTTGTTGGTAATAAAATTTTATTGTATCTTAAAATCGAAAAAAATATAATTGTTTAAAATTTGTGTTTTTGGGATTTTAAAAAGAAAAAATTGAAATTTTGTCAAAAATTTTGCAAAAAATGTTTTTTTTGATAAATCTTGATTTTTTTGGCAAAATTGTTTCATTTTAAAAGAAAATTTAATTTTACTTAACCTCTACTATGTAATAAAATTTTGTAGCATCTGAGAACCAGTCGTAAACAAGCAATTAAAGCCGTTTTAACACTCGGCGAAATTTAAGCTTTTATCGACTTTTACACCCACCTACCACCCTCTTCTTAAAAACTGTGTAATGAAAATGTTTCCGTGGTTGTACAGCGTTATTTTCCCCGTTTCCGGTTTAATCGAGCATCATTAAAGGATTTCCGGCGTCTTATGCGGTTATTTTTCATGTGTGATGCGCCGCCATTTTCTTATCACCACCTAACACTCCCAAGACGAAACAAACATAATCATATAATAACCCCCGGGGGCGGCGAAATTTAATGATAATAAAAAATATCCAACACCGCACTAGTGTGTAGCCTAAAAAGGGTTGAGTAATATATTAATCTTCCTTTCTCTCATTGACATGTTATCTTAATCGGCGATGTAATGGTTCGGGAAATTTCAATGCAAATTCACTCGAGGGTGAAATTTAATTTCGCGATAAGGCGCCGCCGACGGTATTATTATAACATTGAGAGCGTTCTCATTCTCTCCACCCCTTCTGCGAGAGACTCGAGAGACTCGTTGGCGGAGGCTCGGCCGTCATTTAAATGAATTTGTGCCTGCCCCAAATTCCGCGTTCGATTAATGCCCGGCGCCTCCACACAACTATCAAACAAAAATTACTATTAGCTCATGTAATTTGTGTGTACGGCACGTGTATGGTGGGTAAACAATTTGTGTTTGTGTAATTTGCACTCGGGCCACACATAAGGTAAAATGATTATTGCACAGGGTGGGAAATTGCTATTTTCGGCCGTATAACGATTATTTTCAAGCACCGCTTGAGTTTTGAGTGTTTTTCCACATAAAACCACTTTCCAACAACTACACTAAATTATTATTAAATTATTTATATCCGCTTATTAATAAATAATCCTCAAAACTAAAATTTCATCACAAATTCCTCAAATTTTCACTAAAAATGCTTCTAAAATATTTTTTTTCAAACTTTTTAAAAATATTATTACTCATTATTCTATTCTAATTAATTATAAACATAAAAACCTAAAAATAATAAAAATCCATCCATCCATTCTTGAGTTATTGCGTAACATACATGAACGTGCCTTTGCTAGGTCATCTCTAAGTGTGTTTGCATCGTAGAGATCAAAATCTCATCAACACACTTTAAGTTTGTTTTGTTTTATATTTATGTGCAATATCCAGTCGGGGTGTTATTGTTATTTTAGCACAACACATACTATTCCCGCCCGCCGAACCGCCCCTAACGAATTTAACCTGCATGTGAACACGACCGTTAATTCTGTGTACAATGTCAACATCAACATTGTAACGGATCACGGGGCGCAGCGCAACACATATTGAAGGGGTGAAGTGTTCGTTAAGAGCTATGTGCTTGTCAAGTGTTTTGTTGCTGAGATGCGTGACGTGCAATTGATTAGATTTAATGTGTAGTAACAAAATGTGAAACAAAATTAACTTGGAATCGAAATAAATTTATTTTTATTCGATTTGTTTCAATTTATGATACTTTTCGGCGTGTTTCTTTATTATATTACGTTGTAAATAAAGAGTGCCGCCTCCGCCGCCCCCGGATTCTTTACTTCTCTTTTTCCTCACACTCCCAGGGTTGTTTTCGACGTCTTATAACGTCATTATCGATATCGGAATGTCGAAGTGCTGTGAGCATGCTGTGAACCCGGTTGGCGGTCCACTGCCGCCCCCGACACTGAAAGTTACTTAGGCCCACCGTCGAGTCATCTCGTTCGCGTCTTTACGGCTGTGAGGGACGCAATAAACTTCGGGCGATACATAATACTTAAAATTCGCGCACTTTACGACTTTTTTCCCGCGCGGAAAAAAATTGAAAAAATTGTTTTGTGTCAGTGTCAAATAAAATGTCACATCAATGTAATTCCGAATAACAGTAGTGTGGTTTTTATTCATGTTTTATCTTTATATTTACATCATCGCCTGGTTAGTAATGTCTGCAGTGCATACACACCCGGAAAAATTTTATATTAACAAAACAATTGGTCCTGTGAAAACCCCGTATGTGTACAAAGAGAAAAATTACGAAATTGTTTTCCCGAAGCGAGTAAATGCCCATTCAGAACACCTAACCTACGCCATGAAACACCACTATAACGAAAATAAAGATGAACCAGACCCGGAAATGCATTTAATGATACCAATTCAAGGACGTAATCATCACATTCATCTACGACCATCAAGAAAATTATTTAGTCCTGGGATGATTATTGAAACTTTTAAACACCCCCGGAAAAGTCATCTACAACTTCCGGATGCAAAAATTAACCGCAGATGTCATTATACTGGTAGGATTAGAGGTCATCCAAGGACACGGGCTGCGTTGTCCACCTGTAATGGTGTGGTGAGTAAGATTTTTGCATTTTCGCGACCGGAAAAATGTCAAAAAATGTGAAAAATATTTCTAAAAGTCAGGCTACCTCCAAACTGGAAAAGGATTATTCATGATCGAGCCGAGATTTAAGAAGGATCACTCGAAGGATACGCCGCACGCTCATGTGTTGTACCAGGACGCGAAAAGGAATTTATTTTGCGCGACGAGCGTGCCAAAGGTCGACCGGAAGCGGAAGCGCCAAGCGCATCTGGCAGACACGACCAGTGAGCTGAACATCGAAACGCTGGTAGTCCTAGATCAGTCTCTACTACGTCATCACAAGGATATTGATATTGAGAACTACGTTTTGACAGTGTTTAATATGGTAAATTTAAAAAAAAAATTTTTTAGCACAAAAAAAAATTGTTTTTTATTTCAGGCTCACGATTTATTCCACGATTCGACATTGGGCGTTAACATCAATCTGGCTATCGTTCGATTGATCCGACTAGAGGTCGAAGATCACGAGGTATTATGATGGTGCACTTCCGGTTTACATTTATTTTCTTTTTTTTTAGTTTATTTTTTGTTTGGCGGGATTTTACGATTGATAAATTACTTTTAGTAAACCAATTACATTTAGATCCAAGTTTATTTTATACGTAGTATAAAAACTAGATGGCGTTGATGGACACAATGAATTTATCGATCGTTTTGAAACTAATTTATAGCTCGTGTTTTTTTTCCGTGTTGTTTTTTGTGGTCCGGAGAAGAATCAACACACCGAATACATTTTTCATCTTTTCGTTTGCTACGCCATGAAATTCTATTAATTTTTTGCGCTGCACATCGATGTCGACAAAGAATCGACAAAGAATTGAAGAGTTTATTTCTATCTCTCTCTTTCTTTTTCGCTGGTAGGAAAATTCCGGTTTGGAGAGCTTAAAGCTTAGAGAAATGTTGATGGTGCAAAATTTTCAAACAGTGTAAACATAAATTATTGCCCTAATGCAATTTCCAGATGAATATCGCTATGAATCACAATATCGAAAAATCCATGCGTTACTTCCGGTTGTGGCAAAAGCGGATTAATCCCAGGGAGGACACTCATCCGAATCATCACGATATGGCTGTGTTGTTAACAAGGTTAGTTTAATGATGATGAGTACACATTTCCGGTTTTCCGGCTTTTATGAAAATAGAAAATTAGAATAATTTGTTGGTGAAATTTGGTTTGCAATCATCAGGACTCCACTAATATTCAGTGGAGAATATTTAGTTCATTGCACGCGTATGTGTGGTTTGCGCAAATTTGGTCGCTGATTGTTCCATGCTGACCCAGCAATCAAATTTGATTTAGTTTAGATTTTATTACCAGCGGACTGTTAAAATGACAGTTAAATTAGTTTTGCAACTTTTCAGGATTGACATCTGCGGCAATGACAAGACATGCGGTTTCATGGGGGCGGCAAGATTCGGCGGGATGTGCGACCCGGAAAACCAAGCCGTCATCGCTCAAGATAGTGGTCTGCTTTTGGGCCACACGATCGCGCACGAAATCGGCCATACGTAAGTGAGACAAAGTGTTTGCAACACGCACACTATTTTTGGGTACGCTAACGATCTTCTTTCGCCCGGTTGTAACGCGCAAAACCTCAAAACTACAATCACTACGCTGTGGCGTATGTGTGTGTGTGTGGGTGGGGTGGTTACATGCTTGATGTTTTGCAACACGCGTTGTTGGTTTTCGGCATTTCGCCACAGTTTGCGCAGCGGGCCAGCAGGCGCCTCCACCATGCCAACTATTTCACTTGGTCGGGCGCGAACGATACCGACTCGCCCGAAAATGCAATGCGGGGCGATGCGGAACGCTTCGTCGATATAATAATAACGTTTGCTTTGTTGGACTCAACGGCCATGAAACCCTGCATGTGCGCACGGCTGCACTGTTTGTTCGTTTCAATGCGTTCTGCATTCACGTGAAATTACCCAAAATTTTCAAAAATTACAAAAAACATCTCATATAACAAAAACCACTACCTTAATTAGTAAATACAATTTTTAATTAAATTATAACAAAATTTTATCTTTAGAAAAATAATTTTTCGCAAAAATAGAAAAATTTTGTAAAAAAAAGTTTTTTGCAAAATTTTTAGCGAAAAAAAAAGTTTCAAAATTTAAATCAAAATTATTCTAAAACTTAAGAAATTCTGAATCTAGTAACCAAAAAATCATAAAAATCGGTCCAATAGGTCCTGAATTATTAATGTTTTTACTTAGTTTAAGTCTGATACATGACGAAAGCTCAGCAAAAATCGACCTTTCCGATCTGCACCACCTCGATGACGAAATGAGATCAACAGTAATGAGTCCACATATAACCGACGCCATTGTAGAATGGTCCAACTGCAGTCATGAGCGACTTAAGCACTTTATTGAGTAAGAGTATATTCTTCGAAATTGCCATCAAACTTGAGTAAACTGTTTCAGTTTAGTAATGGTCTTGGTTCGTGTTTATTCGACGCGCCCACCGAGCACAGTTTTGTCATGGCCGACGAACTTCCGGGCGTCATGTATGATGGCGACCATCAATGCCGGGAAATTTTTGGTCCTAATGCTGCTCTCTGCATGACAGGCGTTGTAAGTAATTTTATTTAAAAGATTTCCGAATGAATTCGAATCGATTTTAAATCTTTACGAAACGAGGTTTAAGAAACGGAAGTAAAAGACAGTGGGGCGATGGCGATGGCGGCGTTTCTATTTCCGGAAGAGTAATGCAATAAAATGGACGACGCCTTTATTCAGTTTTAACGATGCACATTAAACTAAATGCCACTTAAATTATCCGCGTCGCTTTGCGCGTTCCCACAAATGCAGGCCGACATGCGGCTGTGGAGGCGGCTGGGGCGGCAAATTGAAACTTTGCAGTACAAGATAAATTCAACCGAAAATTTCAACCCCTCGGATGAAATTGAAGCAAATTAGTTTATATTTTCTTGCGGATTTATGCGACTGCGGCAAAAATTTCAATTGAGACCCTTGACTGACACATCAAAAGCATTTTTACTCTAACCTCACCACTTTGTTATTCACAGGAATGCGATAACTTGATATGCTACGTAGAGGACAAAGGGTGTATCGAGACGCACACACGTCCGGCGGAAGGCACGTCATGCGGCGAGAAACGGGTACAACCACTTCATCTTACACATCCTATACCCGCTTTTGCCCTCTTTTAGCATAATCTCAAATAAACCGGTATTTTTTTTTTGCTTCAGTGGTGTTTTCACAGTGACTGCGTTGAAGTAGGCGAACGTCCTAATGCAATCCATGGTCAATGGAGCAACTGGTCCGACTGGAGTGAATGCACTCGGACCTGCGGATCGGGGGTTGCTAGTCAAATGAGGTTCTGTAACAACCCAGCACCGAAATACGGAGGGAAGTTTTGCGATGGGGATAATATCCGATATAAAATTTGCACCACAGAAGTATTTTTCTATTTTTAAATTTTTTGAAAAATTTTTGAAAAAAAAAAATTTTTAGCCCTGTGATCCTGATGCCCCAAACTTTAGAGACATCCAATGTTCGGAATTTAATTCCTGGTTATACCCAGGTGACGGAAAGGTTCATCAGTGGAAAAGTTATCCCATACACGACGGTACTGATTATTTTTTTTATTTTTTCATAAATTTTTAAAAATATTTTGTTTCCGGTTTAGAAAACCCTTGCGCCTTGTACTGCGTGAGCGAGGATGGTAATATAGCATCCCTTAGGCCTCGCGTGATTGATGGGACAACGTGTTATCGCGGAATTCGTGACATATGCATCAACGGATTATGTAAAGTATGAGTCCTGTTTCTGCAACACTCTGTATATCCTCAGCGCGTTAAGTATATTCATACATCTAATAAATGTCAAGGAAATCCCATGCGATCTTGATTTGCAATCCAACGCCGTGGAGGACAGATGCGGGGTGTGCAGGGGTGACGGCACCTCGTGCGATGTCGTACGTGGGGAGAAGGCGATGTTTTGTGTCGGGATGGTGGCGGCGGCTGAGAAGCAAATCATGACGATCCCCGCCGGCGCCGTCAACGTCAAGATCGAGGAGATGCTGCCGTCGGAAACGCGCATCCAGGTGCGCGACAACTCGGGCAGGAGTATCTACATCGACGGGTAAAAATAACAACCCCTTAAAAAAACATCCCTTAAGTTTACAGAATATATTTTTTCTTAGGGATATGTTAGGGATGTATAATGTACATGGTTCCAATGCTTGGGTAGGGATGATCCGGACCAAACAGGAAGCAATCAGTATAATGGGACCTTTGAATGAGGTCATATCAATATGGGTATAAGACTAGAACCCAAGTTTGATAGTTTTTAATTTTTTTTTCAAATTTTTAGGCAAATGTGCAACAAAATTCCACTTTAAGATACACTTATGGTCTTCCAAGTGCAAAAAACCGTTCTACCTCTTTTAGTTGGGATTATCTCGATTGGTCCTCTTGTTCCACAGAATGTGGTCCTGGGTTGCAAACAAGTGTTCCTAAATGTGTTGAAAAAATATCAGGATTGGTAGATGAAAGTTTTTGTAAAAACCAACTAAGGTTAAAGGACCAGACGAGACCTTGTGAAATAGCTCCTTGTATCCCAAGATGGTTTGTAGGCGAATTCGGGGATTGTGAACACTGTCCAACTGGTACCCGCACCCGGATAGTAAAATGCTACAGACCTGTTGGGACTGGTGAAGGGGAACTTGATATCATCGCTGACAGTTTTTGTGCTAACAACAAACCCAAAACATCTGAGAGTTGTTCTTGTAAAGGGATAAACGAGATGATAATAGTACTACTAGTACTAATGATACATCTACTTCTACCCCCACCACTACTATTACTACTAACACTCCAGTAGATGGATCTGGTAACACTGGTAATACAACTCAAAGTACAACTTGTATAACAGAAAGTAACACTACCACTATTAATCCTAACACAACCATCACCGAAGAGTATGACCCATTTGGAATGGACGTTTCCACAACCTCCACTCCAATGCCCACTGTGACCACACCCAAAATAAAACAGTTGTCGATTTTATCAATTTTAAACATGCCAAGTTAACAATACACACCGAACTGGAAAATGGGAAGTACCCGCAGGGTTTATCACATCCCAAGAACTCCAATGAGACTAGATATGAATATACCGGAAAAGATGCTTTGAAGTTCCTGAATACCATGCAGCATGACTTCTCGAACAACAAGACAAAGATTTGATCAGGGTTTACTTATAATAAGATATACAAAGTTATAAATAAATATACTAGATTAAGGGTCATCAAAGGGTCATCAGGTGCTTTCTTCATGGGTGACATTACAGTGTTCCAGATTGGTCAGGAAATTGACAGCTTCCTCTCCTTTTAGGATTTTTGCATGTTGTTCATCAAGGGTATCAGGCAATTTATCACCCATTTCCTCAAAGGCTTCATCTGTTAGGTTGATATCATTATGGGACTGTCTCAAGGGTATTTGGATGAGGTTAGCTTGTTCAGGGTCTCTGGGATCTTTAGCTATGGTTCCCACTTTGAGTTTGTCTTTGGCTTCTTGTTTCTTGTTACCGTCTTTAGTGTTTTTATCAAAGTTGGGGTCAATGCAGGTGTTTTTGTCTATTTTGGGATATTTTTTCATTTCCCGACGGAGTTTATTAGGGTTTTTGATGTTGGACAGGAAATCTGGTAACTTTAAGGGTGGGGAGTTAAGATTTAATTGTTTTTTAGAAAAAATAAGAAAAATACTTTTGGGTCAACTATCGGGGCATCCCATGACTGCAACCAAACCTGCCTCATCATTTCCGGTGTGAGATCTTGATCAATTTTGGAATTTTGACGTTTTTGACAGGGATTCGGCGCATTGCACAACTCCTTCGTCCCGGGTTTCTTCTCGCTGCATGCCGAATCCTCTTCGAGCGTATCGTCGGCCCCCGCTTTGTGCGCCTCGCTGACACATTCCACCTCCCTCGTCCGGATGCCGGAAACATTCTTGCACGCCATGCACTTGCCCCATTTACCCACTCGCCATCTGCATTAAATTTTTGTTGTGAGCACTCCAAGTAAATAAAAAGAGGAGAAAATAAAGGGAATAAAAAAGCAGCGACTTTTTCATTAAAATGTCAAGGGTTGGAGGAAATGCTCCTGCTCATGGATAATGGATACGAGTGTAAATGAATATACTTCGAGCGTACTTGGTTCGACAGGGTTGCTCGTTGCATTTGCGCGTCTTTGCCGGCGGCTTGTCAGTCGCCTGGCAGAACGACGACGCTACCAAACCAGACTTTTCCTCGATGCACTTTGCTTCCGAGGTTTCTACACCACCCGCACATCGTGCGGAACATTCACCCCAATCGACAAACTCCCAATGATAGCTTGGTTGGTAGTTGGACTTGGCGGAAGGCTCGGCGTACTTGTACCGATATCCAACGTTTTCATTCGCATAAAATGTCACCTAAAGTAAAGAAAAATATTTAGAAAAAAAAAATCTGTAAATTTTCAAAAACCCCAAAAATTTTAGAAAAAAATTTTTTTTGAATTTTTTTAATCTCCACTAATTTTTTTGAGAAAAAGTTTTTAAGTTTAAAAATTTTTTTTTGCAAATTTTCAAAAATTCCTAAAATTTTTTGTAAAAATAAAGTGTTTTAAGTTAACGCTTCAAAGACGTAAATTTAAACAACAGATTCCATTAAAAAGTCAACAATAGAAAGCCATGTGTCTTCCAGCAGAACGTTTTAAACCCAAAGTAGTTTAGATTTGTTTCGCCAACATCACGATTCAACAACTTCTACTTACACCAACTACTTTTTACCTCTTTTCTATTCTAGTTTTAAACTTGTGCTTGTGTTGCAGAATCTCGTGATAACTTGATCGCATTTGATTTTGATTTTATGTGATCGAAGCGAAAAAGAAAAAAGAATCGCGGAAATCAAATTGCCATTTGATATGCAGACCAAGTAAAAAGAGAGAGAGTGTGAGTGTGAGTGTAAGTATTCCTGCTTCCCGGATGTAGGTATTAAAGCCAAGCGCGCGCGCGATGCTCATGCACCTTCGGTTGTGCGGGTGCCGGAAAAATTTATTTTCCCCAGGCTCATCCCTTCTTTGTCTTGTTTAGTTTTTGTATATTTTGCTTACAATCGCGTATACTGTGTGTTTCAATGCTAAAATTTTGGTGTTTTATATTCATTTCCGGTTTTTTCTGTTTGTGGACATGGTGTATTGTAGTTTTTTACACACTTTTTGAACATTTCCGAGTTGTATGCAACGTCTTATTCATCGCAGCTTTGCATTTTCGGTACGAACCAAAACGTTCATACATAATTTATCCAGCGGGCGCTTTGTTGCGCTCATATTCCGACATTTTCCCGTACGCCATTGCTAAACGCATTAAATTACCGCAGATGCGTCCAGCTCCACTATTCGCCAAAAACCGGAAAACCGGAAAACCACGCGTAGTGATTAAAATCACCCAGATTCGTAAAAATATTTCAAACCGGAAGTGTCCAAGTTTTTGTGCTGATTTTGTAATTACAATTGCGATGTAGCAGTGGTTGTAACCGGAAACCAAACACACAACTGGCGCGCTGTTCCGCTGTTCGCAATGAATTCAAAGCGGCGACGCGCGTCGGAATTGTAACCGAGAGAGGAACTTACAAAGAACACAATGTTCTCCTTGAGCGGGCCGTGAATGATCAGCATCTCCTGGTTGGGCGCCGGATGTGAGTAGATGCCTTCGACGCCGCCCATTTCGCGTACGCCGTCCGGTTGTTCAGTGCTGAAACATATCGATTTGCCATCGAGACGAATCAATTATGCTTGCCGCAGAAAGCGCTTTTCGATGATGTCGTAAAATTTAAGCAAACACTACAAGCACACACAGAGGGAAAACAGAAAAAACCGGAAGCAATGAGTTTGCTGTGTCTTACAAGTCGCCATTGAGGTAATAGTGTTTCTCATCCGGTCCGGTGATGGCTATCGTGTTCGCTGAGGGTTTTAACTCTTCGATGAGGACGTTTCGTGAGCCACGAAAGATTTCAGCTACTTTTACATAACCTACAAAGGAGATAATGTAGTAAAAAATTAAAAATAGAAAAAAATTGATGGGTACCTTGTCCAGTAGTGCCTTGGAAGGTGTGTTCGGTAATTTTACACTCGGTACCATCACCTTTACAGACTCCACACTCATCTTCAACTGCATCTGAGTCTACTATAAAATCACAACCTACAACCTAAGAAGATTTAATGGAGGTTTATAAGTTTTGAGGTTATGAAGAAGGAATACCTTGCATGTACCAGAAATGCACATGTTTTTGGTTCCTGCTTTACAGGGTGTACCATCTGTGACTCTGGGAGCTAATTTTACATAAGTGTTATCATCATTTATGCAATATAAACTACAAGTGTCATCTGCAATTTAAAAAAAATGGATTTAGATTTTTTTTCTAAATTTTTGTGTTTTTTCAATTTTTTTCCAATTTTTTTTGAATTTTTTCAATTTTTTTTTCTAAATTTTACAGTTTCTAAACATTTTTTGCCAAATTTTGGTATTTTTTGAACATTTTTTTCATATTTTTATATTTTCAGAACATTTTTTAAAGTTTTTCCTATTTTATAATTTTTTTTCCAATTTTTTTGAATTTTTAAAACTTTTTTTCGCAAATTTTTAATTTTTCCAACATTTTTTGAATTATTTTTGTTACCTTCTTTTAAATATGGCTTCCAATGATACAACTTTTCCTGAAAGGGTTTGTCGTTGTAGCTTGCACACTGAACGGCCCGGAAAGGCGTTGATCCTTCGGGACATAACTACAACAGAAATTCCAAGATATGACAAAAAAAACTTTTTTTTTCTCCCGTTTTTGTTTTCTGCTGCTAAGTGGAAAAAGTATAAAAGTAGGTTATTCCATGCCTGCGTGTTGCATATTTTTGTTTTCTTTCGTTCACCGAGACAATAGCGTCCCCGATGCTGCGGCCGAGGGTTGTTGCACTCCCGCGCTGAGATCTGTACGCCCCCGCCGCAGGTGCGCGAACATTCGCTGAATTTACCCCAATCGCCCCAGCCGCCATTGACCGCTTGCGGTCGTTCCCCAATTTCGACACACTTGAGGTTATAACACCACTAAATAATTCCATATAAAATTAGATTGAGGTTATTTTAGGTTATTTTTACGCAAAAAAAAAACACCGAGGAGTATAAATGTGTGGGTGTTCACTTTGTTTTCGCCGCATTTCGTTCCGTCGACGGGTGGCTCTCCATTCGACATGCACGTGCCGGGCTCGGTGCGGCACAGCAGGCGATCGCAGAACTTTTCCGGGCTCACTTTGCAGACTGATGAGCCAGGGAATTCCATCTGACATTGATACTTCGCATCGTATATCGTCCCCGGCAGCATGTTATTGTCCTTATATAGAGATATTTCCGGCTCGTCATTGAGGCATTCACCTAAATCATTACTAACACCCACAAAAAATAGTATCCCGCAAAAAAATCGAAAACCGGAAAACCGGAAGTAAAATTAAACTTACTCAAAAAATGTCGTAATGAACGTTTTGCTACAGGTGGACCACACGTTGGTGTGCAGATGCACGTACGGCGACATCACGTAGTAGGACTGATCGTCCGCTTGCGCTTTACAACCGGAAATCTCCTCCGTATCGTGCGAACATCCCATCCTGCAATCACTACGGCAAATAAAAATACGAAAATGTATTATTAATGACACGCAGGACTAACACGTGTCCGATTTCGTGCGCGACGACAATGCCCAGAATAAGACCCGCATCCTCGTTGATCGCACAAGGTTTATCCGAAGTGCAAGCTGCAGCAACATACGCCAGTCCCATCAATCCACAGTTCGCCATGTTGTCCGCACACAGATCATACCTGTTGGAGAATTGGGTCACGTGTGAATGCAAATTAACTAATTGTTTTATCAAGGTTAGGTAAATAAGTGATTTATTACCTTTTTTGCATTTGATGCAAAGAAATGTGTGTGAGGCGTGTGCGCATGCGCGTTTCACGTTTGTTGTTATTGCTGGCAATCGGATCGGATGCCGGAGCGCTGATTATTATTAAGCTCCTTATCTCGACTGCGTTCGAGCACGTACCGCCATTCCCCAAGTCTAATGCCTCGGCGCATTACAACATTTACAACACAATAGCGTCGAGAGTACTATTGCGTTAAATTAAACTATATATGCACACACTCTCGAGACACTCGCAGAGTCATAATCATTGAGCTGAGCTACTTGTAATATAAGCTATCCGTGCACTTAGTCAAAACTTTTGTGTTTGTGTTTGCGTAATCAATACGCATGTTATCTACGTTATTTATACGTGTGCAACTATTAATGATTGTTTATTATATTGTCGGGAATGTTGGCGAGTTGTTGTTTAAGTTCACTGTTTGACTTTGTGCAGTGTATTTCATTTGTGCAAGATCAATATTTAATTGTAGGTATATGAGTAAAACTTGTTTTTGTGAAAACTGACGAAATTTTGGTTCTTGTTTTGTGGATAACTTAAAAACGGCTGGTCCGATTTTTACCATTCTTCGTAATTTAGGCTTTTCTTTCTTGTATGTATCGAAATACATTTTAAAATTTTTAAAATTTCCAAAATTCAGTTTTCAAAATTTGGAACTTTTTGGAAAAATTTGAATAACTCAAAAACTACTCATCCGATTTTTATGATTTTTAATAATTTCATGTTTTCTCTTTCGTAAATATTAGAATTGTTATTTATATCATAAAAAATCTCAAAAAAAAATTTTCAAAAATAAGAATTTTTTGCAAAAAAAATTTTTTTCTGAAAAAATAATTCGATTTGCTTACCGAGTTAAAAGCACAGCTATATCATGATGATTTGGATTCTTGACATCTTTCGGATTCACCGTCTGCTGCCACTTGCAGAAACTCTCGAGAGTTTTATCCGAGTCCTGGTTGATTATCAGATCAATTTCGTCCTCCTCTTTCTCTAAATACATTATCCGTACAACCACAACATCCATCTGATTACCAGCGCTTGCATCATGATAATAATCAGATACCTAAACGTAATCCCTGATTTAACAAACGTTTTTATCTGTGATTTATTTAAATTTTAAATGTTTACACTTACCATATTCATAATCGTGAGTATATAAGTCTCGAAATCGGAGTTTTTGTGATGTTGTAAAAACTTTTTATCAACTACGATGAGCGTCTCGAGATATCGATGCACCGAGTCGAGCGCGCGTTTCTCTTGATCATGTTCGGTTATTTCCTGCTCTCGCAGTCGTTTTTTCCACGCTTCCGTCCAATCTTCATTGGTGCCGCATCGCGGGCCGTTGAAATGCGATGGTAATCTCTCTGTGTAGATCATGTGCAAATGTTGACCGCGCTTATTCGGCGTGTGCTCACTTAATGGCTCAATGAAGTATCTTTTACCATTTATGCTAATATAACCAGCCTAAAAATTTTGCATATTTTGAATAATTTTGCTAAAATTTTAAATTTTTTGAAAAAAAATTCAAAATTTTATCGTTTTTTGAATATTTTTTAACAAAATTTTATGATTTACATATTTTTAAAAATTTTTTCCAAAATTTTGAAATTATGGACCATTTTTTAAATATTTTTTCACTTTTTGCAATTTTTTACAAATTTTTTTACTTTTTTTCAAAAAAATTTAGAAAAAAATTATTTTATACTTACTAATCCATCACAAGTAGAAATAGCAACTTTAGACTCATCAATACCTCTAATTTTACCAACAAAATGACATAAATCTCTACGAATCCTCTGAAATGTTGTTTGACGCACGTTTGCCGCTCGTTTTTCAACAATGGCCGCCGGTGAAAGGAACGCATGATTCGGCCATAAATCCATTTGGTGTTTTTTCCCATCAAAAGTAACTCCGTATGACACCAGCGGTGATTCATCAATTTGCCGCTTTTTTCTCCTCTTCAACATATTCGGCTGATGCGCATAGAAATGCACCAGCGAAAACGTCAAAAAATTCCCATCTTGAGTCAACTTCCTCGGCACAATCAATTGATAATCACTGACGTCACGTGTGTACCTGCCTTTCAAAAGACAAATAATTGAATCAGTGTATCGGAAAAGAATTCACCGCCTTCGGGCAAAGGGAATACATTAACCATCGTGCTGAGCAACACGCATGAATAATGCATCAATTTGATTCGTCGCGCATTGCATCGTGCCGGCCCTCGTCAATTTTACCTTCTAATAAAACCACCGGCGACAACGTCTCCAAGAGCACAGCCAGTAGCAGCGAGCGCGTTGCTGCGCTCATCACTAATTGAATAATTCACGACGTCGCGCACAAATGATTGAATCACCAATTACATCCGAAATCATTAAAGTACTTGGATGCGGTCGGGGCGTACGACAAGACTTCCCCGATTTCAAGACTTCGTTAGCGTGAATTTGTACAAATCTGATATAAATACGTCAAACATTACATCTGACGTGATGTGTGATGTGAGATGTGTCAAACTACCGCAAGATTGCGGTTTGCTCCCCAGGGGCGGTGGGAAATTTTGACGTACGCACGGAGGTAAACTTAATTCAAACTAATTACACCAGTTTCCAAACCCCATCGTTAGTTATGATCAAAGTTTGGAATAATAATATCATTAAATTACACACATATTAAAATACGGCCCTGGAAGATATTTTTAGGACATTTTTTGAGAAATTTTGACGATTTTGGATTTTTTTTACAAAAATTTTGTTTTTTTTTTTGATGAAATTTCCAAAAATTTCTAAATTTTTGTTTGAAATTTATATCTAAATATTATAATACGGCCCTGGAATATATTTTTAGGACTTTTTTTGCTAAACTTAGACGTTTTTGGAATTTTTTTGCAAAAATTTTGGTTTTCTTGATCAAAATTTAAAAAATTTCCAAATTTTTGTTTAAAATTTGTATCGAAATATCATAATACGGCCCTGAAAAATATTTTTATAATTTTTTTCATAATTCTGCAGTTTTAAGAGGTTTTTCCATTTTTTTTTCTAATTTTTTGTTTTTTTCCAAAAATTTTTCTTTTTTGTAAAAAAAAATTTCTAAAAATAAAAAAAAACCTATATATAGATTTGAATAAAAAATAGTAAATTCACTATTGAGCTGGATTTGTGTTTTTACACGCATATGAATAATTTTGAAAGCGGATGTTAAAAAGTAAAAAATAAACCGTTCGATCGATTTGTCCGGCTGACAGCGGCGGTGCGCTTTGATATTCTAATACGAGTTGGAATCATTTATGCGTCCATCACAACCGCGCTTAAGTTACACAAGTGGTGTATAATCTGGCGTGCACTCGGCCAAAAACGGAATTTACATCCAAAAAAATGCAAACCGAAAATATTATGACTCAAAACAACTTTTTTGCGCGAAAAGTGTGTAAATTATGTGCCGGGCCGAAGATTATTTATGTTGAGATCTTTTGTTTTGCTCTGAGTCATCGACTTTTGGTATAATTGATTGAAATCGCGTTATTTATCGCTGTGTTGTGTCACAGAAACAGTCGAAATTCGACGATTGAGTCATACACAGACTTCTTTGTCAAGAGACATTTTTTTAGATTTGTAAATTTTTAAATTATACAATTATAGTAAAGTAATGGGAGCGGTATGTCCATGACCTTCTAGAAATAATACCATGTCAATCAAATTTTTTGATAGCATTAACAACAATTGGAAACATGTTTATTTTGAGTTATATTTGCAAAATTATTTAATTTTTTGAAAAGAATTCAATTTTATAGTTTTTGCTATTTTTCCGATTGTAACCAAGAAAAATTTGTAATTTTGAAATTCATGAACAGATGGCGCTGATTATACGGCAAATGGCGCTTTATTTTAGGTTGAATTTTAAATTTTTGATTTTTTGCACAAAATTGCAATTTTACATTTTTCCCATTTTTTCAATTTAAACAAAGAAAATTTAATAATTTATTAATTCTAGGACAGATGGCGCTGAGTATAGTATAAATGGCGCGTTACTATAAAATTTATAGCATTAGAAGTACTAAATAGCTCTTATTTTGAGTAAAATTACTAAATTATTTGAGTTTTTGCAAAAATTGCAAATTTTTCCTAATTTTTAATTAAATCTAACAAAAAATAATATTTTAAAAATTCTCTAACAGATGGCGCTGATAATATGACAAATGGCGCTTTATTTCTTAATTATTTCATTTTTGCAAAAATTTTAACTTTTGCAGTTTTTCCAATTGCACCAAACAAAATGTAATAATCCAGAAATTCCCGAACAGATGGCGTTGATGATGCAACAAATGGCGCGTCCATTCCCACGTCGCAACAAATCGATCGTATGACTTCCGGCAAAAACGGAAATAGTGCACGAGTACATTACATCCACCTGCTACAGCAAAGTATTGACAGAATTCACAATCTAATAACAAAATTAAAATAAATAATAGTTGCATGTTAATGATAGAAAAAATAAATGTCGGTCGTGAATGTAAATGTAAATGTAAACGTGTAAACGACACAAACTATGTGCGATGTAGCACGGACATGAAAACGTTGTGGAAAATTGTTTAGCCACGGCAATAATGATCGCCATTTATAGAATTTACGCCGTCGTCGATGGCGGCGCGCGGCGAATGGGCGCAGTGCGCGCACGCCTGAATGGCGAATGAAGTAATACAGGAGTTTTACGAGCGCAATTAACATTTATTATATAGAATTATCATTATTGGTGTTTGCCGTGCAATAGGTAGTCAAGACTCAGTAGGAGGGCTCCAGACACGTTTGAATGTTGTTAATTATTGTGTAAATACTTTGTTTATCAATAAAATGCGATAAAATATTATAGTGATTAATATTGTAATTTTTTTTTATTTGCAGGATGATTAATCCGGATTTTTTTATGATTTTATTTCAGTCACGATTGTTAAAAGTTGAAACATTAGCATTGGCAATGCGTACGACGTGCATTACTTGCAGCCGCAAAGTTGTGTAAACTCTTTTCGACGTTTTCTGCTCCTTGCTCCTTAATATTAAAATAATGCGCTTCAAATTGAGGCCCATTTAAAGACGCGTCATGAATATGCATGAGACGTCCGGCGAAATCCAGCGCAAGTTTTTTCAACCCTAAAAATTCTAAATATACACTGCTACAATGAACGAAGAATGAAAAAATTAGTATTAACTCAGTCGATTTCCTTCGTATTTTTGGAATTTACATAGAAAAATGAGAAAATTAAAAAAACGAAAAAACATAGATTTACATTTTTTTCCAAAAAAAATTTTGTTTTTTGCAAAATTTTTATTAACTCAATAGTTTTTCGGTAAAATTTTTGTTAATTAGTATAAGAAAGTGTACATTTTAATTGCAAAAGATAAAATTTTATATAAAACGAAATTTTTTCAACTTTTTTTGGAAAAAAATTCAATTTTTTGCAAAATTTGCATTTATTCAATCATTTTTGGCTAAATTTTTGTGAATTTATGTAAAAAATTGTCAATTTAAACCAAAAAACATATAATATTACGAAAAGCAAAAAATATGTAACCTTTTTTCCAAAAAAATTGATTTTTTGCAAAATTTATATTTATTCAATCATTTTTTGGTAAAATTTTTCTAAATTTGTATAAGAAAGTGTAAATTTTAATTGCAAAAGATAAAATATTATATAAAACGAAAAATTTTCAACTTTTTGGGAAAAAAATTGAATTTTTTGCCAAATTTGCATTTATTCAATCATTTTTGGCTAAATTTTTGTGAATTTTTATAAAAAAGTTTTGCAAAACACCAATAATCATAAAATATTTTGTAAAATTAATTAAACTGTCAATTTAAACCAAAAAACATATAATATTACCAAAAACAAAAAATATGTAACCTTTTTTCCAAAAAAAAATTGATTTTTTGCAAAATTTGTATCAACTCAGTCATTTATTGCCAAATTTTTGTAAATTTTTATAAAAAAGTTTTGCAAAATCCCAAAAAGACATAAAATAAATTTGATCCACATTATTTTTTCAAACTACAACCAAAAAACAAAAATCTAATTTTTTTGTCGAAACACAATTATTTAATATTTATCTCTCCGCCTATACTTTTCAACATATCAAAGTTTCAAGGATGAGATCAGATCGAATCCCCGAAGCGTGAAATCAAACTGCATGGTTCATCAAGCGCGGCGAAATATCACATATTGGATGTGTAATTTATTCAAAAACTAAATTTGCCACAAAAAAAAAATCCCACTTCAATCCACCCAACGCACTGTATAAAATATGTGTTAATTTACGCGTAGACTAATTTGTTTCTCTTTTTTTCCGCCGTCGTCGTTGTCTACATCTCTGATTTAATTTATTTGTACAGTTGTAGTTGTTAAAACACACCTTGATGTTAAACGGGCCCGAAACAGGAAACGCTCAATTACGAGTGTGTTCGGTGCGCGTCTTTCATCTCCGCGCAGCGTTCACATTATGTCATGTCGTCGATAAATTTTAATTAATGCACACACATCGACTGCAGCACGCATATCGCGCAGACGTGTAAAATAAAATCAAATAAAACTCGCGGCGCCAAAGAAGAAGATTCTTGTCTTGTCTGCATGAGACTTTCATCTACAGGTTGTTGAAATTCAAAAAAATTAAAAACTTTTATAATAAAATTTTTAAAATTAAATTAATTAATTGTAAGATTATAATAAAATATTTACTAGTATTGATTTGTTGTAAGTGCGTAATTTACGTGAAGGAAAGCCAAGGTTTTACATTTACACTGTTATAAAATAAACACTTTTGCTGAGCGTTTCTTAGTCATCAGACAAGTCGCGGGGTCGGGTGTTGGAACTACTACAACTCGTGTGTCAGTCTGGACCCGAAACAGAACACACGCTAGACGCGTTCGCGACACCGCAAGTTCCACACGCGAAAATCACTGCAGTGCCAATCCGCATAACCAAGTTAACCGACTAGTAACGCACGCGCGTCATGTGCCACCTAGCGAGTAGAAGTGATGTTAAGTCTACGTGTGGTGCTACAGTGCGCGTATGATGACGCTATTCAACCGCTACGCATGGCCGCTATGGCTAGGAACCCTCACAATACTACTACAGATATTCACATGCGTCGCGTTTGAAAACCAACATCAATACAAAGGTAGAATAAAAACCAACATAATTGTAATTATATGTTGACGTATTAATTGATCACGAACATGAAATAATTATCTACGTGTACTTGAATCGAATGAAAATATGTTTCATGTTTGGATTTTTATTGAATAAGTTGAAGTTGTTTGTTGTTTGCCCACGATTTATGTAGAAATTGTTCTGCAATCGAAGTGAATATGTTTAATATAAACGTTTACATTTCGACAACACAAACAAGCGCTTGATGGACGCTGTTTGCAACAGCATCCGATCGAAAATCGCTGTGCATTTATAGACAAGAGATCAAATTTAACGTCGTACACATTCAAGCATTACGTCAACAGACATAATGCACAAAACCATTGATATTGCACACAATCTGTTTCAAATCATTCCGCTCACAACGCAATTTAATGTGTTACTGATTCCAAACACTCGAAACCGATCCGAATTATCAAATATTACATACAGACGATTTAATTTCGTGAAGGACACTTCATGCTTTGATTATTTTTGACCTAATAATTATGAATTTAATGCGCGATGTGAATTCTCATTCTTGGAAGTGTTTGATTAAGTGGAAAAATAAAAATGCTTTCCGACTGACAGCCCGAATGATTTGTTGCAAACCTTGAGCGATCATTTCATATAAATTTTTTTGTCTGTGTCGCGTTTTAAATTAAAACTCTCTCATTGTGCACTTGTTTTATTTATGCTGCGTTCGGCGAATGATTAATTGCATATCGACTTGAGGTATTTTAATAATTCACTTATTTCCGTTTTCGTGCGAATAACATTTTGCGAGCGCGCAAACGTCTCAAGTGGCTCGCGCTCGACATTTAACGCTTCTTATTTTTATGTGAGATAAATGTTATAGTCGGGCGCACTGGCGGCCAACTGGCATCGCATAACCATCGCATAACCCAGAACGAGAATTGCGAATGCGACTTTGTCTTGGAATTACACTGGCATTTCTTACTCGAGATATTAATAACTTAAATTTACTTTTTGCACAAAAAACACAAAAAATAAAAATACTTAACGTACGTATCCGGTTACAATAATGACAGTGTAAAGATTTATGTATCTCGTGCGTAGCTATTATTAAATATGAAGGCGTTTCCGATTTTGATCTTGATCGTGCGGCGATTACATCCCTACTAATATTATAAATGCGAAAGTCCTGATGTTTGTTACACTTTCACGCAAAAACTACTTAACCGATCATCATGAAAATTTCTACACATATTCTTAGTGGTCCCCGAATGGTTATAGGCTACTTTTTATTTAATAAAAAAAATTATTTTTTAAATAAAATAAAGAAATAGTTTAGCCAATAATACCTCTGCATCTGGCTATTTGACTACTTTAACGCCATCTAGCATTCCAGCAATGAAGCTCAAACCTAAGTACTATAGTACCATCACACTGTATTATCACACTGTATTACCGACAGCTACGTCAACATCAAATCCAATTGACTTCACTATGGAGACTGTACACTATACTTCCATAGACTATACTTTCAGCCATTTTAAACTTCCCGCCATTCTACTTCATTGTTACTTCTTCTGTGACTACAGACGCGTACGGATGCAACTTCATTATTTTAGATATTCGCAAGCGAAGCAGCGGGTTAAAGCTAGTCGTAAATACTTGACTAACACACCTATAATTACATATATTACATAAATTTGTTTATAGACAAACATTTTCCGGTTTTCCGGTTTTGTTTTGGGTTTTAAATGATCAAATTACGCATCTATTACATGATTGATTGATTGATTGATCTTTTTGTTGAAAACTGCGCTCATTTTCGCAAAATGAAACAAAAAGCCAATAGAGATAACGACGACGTGCATCATGATTGATGGATTGATTGAGTGCCGATTAATAACATACTCTTCTGATAGTTTTCGAGTGTATTATTATTTTATCAACATGTTTACATTTATACATTTTTGTTTTTGTTTTTGTTTTTTTCTGTGCTTTTAAAGCGGATATGAGCGCGCTTAATTTGCATCCGAAATTAAAAATAATTCAACTCCGGCGGGCATTATAATATTATGTTTGCGTAACTCGCGAAAGGGGTGCGAAAGCGTTTAAATTATACGGCGGAAATTCGAAGCTGCGTGGAAGCTCTTGCGCCCTCCACACAGCGATGTAAAATAAATTAGGTAATAGCTTTTTGCTAATTGTGCTTGCGGGGGAGTGCGAGTGCCATGCACTATCTCGATCGTGGAATTTCCACCTGGAAAACTCCCGAAAAGGGTTGGTAAAAGCTCGTAATTATAATATTGAGTTTTTGGCGACTTTACATTTAAATTTCACTAAAATTTATCCATGAAAAAAAAGCTCCATTGAATTTTGATTGAATTAAACTCGTCTAATAACCGGAAAACTTTAAGGCCAAGAAATCCGATCGCTAGTTAATCATCCAATTATGTTCAGCCCGAAAAAGCTCGCGAGCTGCGAGCTTAACTACACGCATAAACTTTGCAAATTGTTTTTTAATAAAGCTCGCCACTGCATTGTTTTCAACGCGGTTAGGAGATTAATGAACACTTAAAATCGCTAAAAATCTTTTTTCTTTTTCATTCACAAAGCTTTTGATCTTTTGATATTTTAACTGGGAGCTTTTGAAGTGTTTGAACCTTAGATGAATCTTGTATATAGCTCGCATGCATCTTGAATGAAGTGTTTT